GAAACATCCACACACATTCACACACACACACTCATACACTACGGACAATTTAGCCTACCCAATTCACTTGTACCGCATGTCTTTGGACTTTGGGGGAAACCGGAGCACCCGGAAGAAACCCACACGAACACAGGGAGAACATGCAAACTCCACACAAAAATCCCAACTGAGCCGAGGCTAGAACCAGCAACCCAATGACCTTCTTGCTGTGAGGCAACAGCACTACCTACACTGTTAACCCTTACTGTAGATAATGCAGTAAATAACTGTAAAATAGCCAGTGTTTAGCTGTAATAAAAGGAAACAGTATTTTACTGTAAAAGAAGCAGGATTTGTATGAAATTCTGTAGTGCAAAGAATAAATCACAGTAATTTACTCTATGTACCCATTACAGATATTTACTGTCATAATAAATGGTAAATTACTGATCAACCATTACTGCATCTACTCTGTTGCTTTATGTTGCTATTTATATGCATTATATAATTTTATATATTTATATATATTTACTGTTCAGTTTTGATATGTGAATGGTCAGTATTGAGGGGAGAGTGGGACATTGCATTGATGATAAGCTGAATTTCACTGCAGCCATGTGTTTTCTTTGGTTTCTTTTATGTTTTAACATTTCAGGAGTCAACCAATGCCACAGAGATCATTAAAAGCTAATCATAAGATATGGATGAAATGCATTTAAAGACAAAAATAATCACACAGAGCAAAGAAATTGTCATAATAATTTTTATAACTTTGTTTACGTTTCTATAATTAGTCTAATTTGCCTAATTTAACCTATAGTTCAGCTTTTAAATTGCACTTTCAACTGAATATTAGTATTTTGCTAAATGACTAGTAAAAATGTGTTATTTAAAAAAAATATATCTTAAACAGCACGTAAATACATTAGAGACTCAATGAATTTGTTTGGAAAACTTCAATTAAAGTAAGTAAAAGTGGCATTAACAGTATAGTTTAAAGGCTTTCCTAAATAAATGTATAAATCATGTAATTTTTGTGTTTTTTTTTATAATTACTACAGATTTGGAACGACATGAGGATCAGATTATTTTTTATCATTTTTTTTTCCTATGGATGAAGTTTGCATATTTTAATTGTTTTTATTAAACAATATGTGCATAATTGTGATAAATGTAGGCAGTTGTTTTGGAAATATGCTATGCTCCAGGGGTGTCAAACTACTAGAGGGCCGCAGCCTAGCAGAATTTAGTTCCAGCCCTGCTTCAACACACTACCTTTAGATTTAGTTTGATCAGGTGTGCTTAATTAGGGTTAAAGCTTAACTGCACTCTTACCCTGTAGATTATGTAGTAAATAACTGCAAAATAGTCAGTGTTTTGCTGTAATGAAAGGAAACAGTATTTTACTGTAAAAGGAGTAGAGTTTGTATAAAATTGTGTAATGCAAAGGATAAATTACAGTAATTTACTTTATGTACTGTGACAATAAATGGCAAATTACTGTTCAACCATTGCTGTCCCATTTACTCTGATGTTTTATGTTGCTGTTTATAGAGACGTGCATTTTAAAGGCAGAAGACAATGATTTAGGCCTCACCACACTCCCACAGGCTTATTCTTATTCTAAACATAAAGGTATTAGAAAAAGTTTTCAGAAAATGCTGGCTCTTTAAGGGAGTCAGGTGTTTGATTTGTTTTCTGCTGAGTGCGCTCTATTCTCTGTCTATCAATTCAGATGTAGAGTCTGTTATGTTTTAGGCTTTAAATAAGAATCTACAATGAGTAAGTAAAATGTGTTCAAATGTTTTTGAGGGTTTCTAAAATAAGGCTGTGTTTTAAGTTATATTGTTGTTATCTTGAACTGTGTACTTGAAAGCTACATTGTTAGCTAGTTAGCCTCTCCTCGCTTTTGTTTAAGTATATTTATTTATTGGATATTGCATATTGCAATAATGTACAGATGCTAAAAGTTTATGCACATAAAAACCAATAAATTCCATCACCTCAGTAAGGTAACATGTGCACAGAAATCATCACAGGGAATCACAAAAAATATGATACAAATAACTATCCACACACAAAAACTCCACTGTCAGGTCCCAGGTTGTGAGTTTGTTGCTAAGTATTTTTCAGAGCAGTGTTTCCACCTATGAATTTATATTAGAAACAATAGAAAAGTTTGTGGTCATGAGATTTTAAAGTAGATAATAATTATAACAATAAAAGATTGGATCCTTTGGATTTTCGCGGTGTTGCCGACTTTGTTTTTGTTTTTTATAATTATTTAAAACTTTTTATTGAGAATTGACACAGTACCTGCCTGTGTTTGACAAACATGTTTATATATATATATATATATATATATATATATATATATATATATATATATATATATATATATATATGTATGTGTGTGTGTGTGTGTGTGTGTGTGAGAGTGAGAGATAGAGAGAGATATAAAAAAAAAAAAAAA